GGCGACGGCGGAGCCCCTCTCTGGGGGTATCTGTACAATGTCAGCGTACTTAGTCGTAGATTTCTTGTTTGTTTTTCTACTGACATACCCTACATTACAGTACATTATCCCTTTTTTACTGCTGTAACATTGCAAATTTGCCAGCTGTGTGACCAATGAAGGTTTATCTTATCTTAAAAGCTACAAGCTGTTCTGAGACCACTGATGTGCAGCACAGAACGCTACAGGAGGTGTTTCTTACCAGTGGCCTTCAAACTGTATAACTGATCTTCTTTCTGCAGGACAGCTACAAGCTGATCACTGATATCAATATCACTTGCAGTATTACTTTTCTTGTGCTATATCAATTTCAGTTCCATGTGTAGTATTTCATTGTTATGTTCAATATGTCAATGTAATATTTCATTATCTGGGTGCAGTAGTTCATTTCTTTATAGTGTTTAAAACTGTATTTTCATGTGCAATATTTAAATTAATACGCAATATTGAGTTTCAGGTGCAATATTCCACTTTCGTATGCAATATTTCATTGTCATGTGCTGTTGCAGGTACTGTTGATAAACCATGTGTTGTCTTACAGCTCCTCATGTGCAGTAGCATCATGTTAACACTGGTCGTTTCTCTTGATACCGTCTTGTGTGCAATAGCGGAAATGTTGCACTACTGTTCTGAAAAAATGTTCATTGTGTTTGCACAGAGAGCTGAGTAGTTTAATTCTACACACCGTGTAGATCATGCCATGTCTTTATATATCCATATGCAAATTCATCATGCCACATCTGCACATGTGGAAAGCGTCTTTATTAAATCTTTATTTTTAGCCTTTTTGTACTTTTGCATTTCTAGTCTTGCTTTTTCCATACCTCATTTTTATCTAGCTGCTGTAACACGGAAATTTCCCCTGCAAGAGATCAGGAAAGTTCATCTTAATTTTCTTTTGTTATCTAATCGTAATATTGCTTTACTTCCTCATGAGCTTTGCCAGTATTGCAGAGGATAGTTAGAGGTGCTGAGAAGGTCATCAGAGTTTCCTTCACCTCTGTCCAAGAACTTTTCCAGAGCCGCTGCAGGAGCAGGGCACTGAGCATTGTCAGGGACTCCTCACACCCTCTTCATAAACTGTTTGAACTGCAAACATCAGGCAAATGTTTCCGGTGCACTGATCAACAGCTTCATTCCACAAGCTGTCAGAATGCTGAACGGTTGATCTAAATCTGCAAACACTTGTTTATTTAAATTGCTTTAAGTTACTGGATCCTGAAGAAATGCTCTTTCATCTTGCCTATACTACTGTTTATGTACAGCAAAATGACAATAATCGCGATTTGATTTGATTCCTGTTTTAGCTTACTTGTTTTTATTTTCACTCATGTCACTTTAATTTTTCTTCTTTTTCTTTTATCTTGCCATAACGTGTTAGTTTCCTGTTTATAACAAAACATTTTTTTTTTCTTTTTTATCCTTTTATCTGTTTTTTGGTGGCAGCCCCTGTGATTTTACTCCCTGGAGCATTTATTTTCCGAAAGCAGTTACTTCCGGTAATGGCCGCTGGATGTCGCTGTTTTCAATAGGACCAATCGAGGCTGCGCTTTGTGTTTCCACGTGACCGGCCGTCCACCAATAGGAAGCGTTTATGCTGATGAGTCCTGTGTGAGCTCTGAGCCTTTTACGGCTGCTGGAAACACTCACGTCTGCACTCAGTGAGAATCTCAGGACGCACAACATCTCTCTGGATATTACAGGACACCGAACCGAACCGCCTGGATGTGCAATATGACTTTTGAAGACACCAGTGGGGATAATTCAACAGAAAGGTTAGCGAGCTCGCGTTGCATGTTTTGCTTCGATTTAGCTTTAGCTTACGAACTTTACAACAGTTTTGCTGAACATGTAAATGAAGCTTTCTGTCACGCTGTCACTGGAATTCACATTGTCATATTCAGATGAGGTTTTCTAAGCCCTAGCTATGTGACGCGAGGTAGCTGTTTTTGCTAGCATTAACGCTGCATATTAAATATTTATCGTTTGGTTGTCTTACATGCTCGTATTGCGGTGTTGTTGTATTCGGCATGCAACGTTACAGCATCTTAATGAATGACATTAGTGGAAAACTTGGACACCAGCTCTGTCTCTGGTCGTGTTTTTCTAAACTTCTTTCTTTTCCTCAGGATGGAATCGGTGGCTAAAGCACTAGAGGAGGTCCTGAGCTCTGCATTGCCTCAGGGTTGCATCACCGTCGGAGTCTATGAGGCAGCAAAGTCACTAAATGCGTAAGTTAATCCTTATTAAGGTCACCAGTGGAGCTCTAAGAAAGAAAAAAAAATCCAGCCAGTGTCAGTGTGAGACAGCTCCATCTTCTTGTCCTCACTCCTGTTTTTTCCTTTCTTCTTTTGTTGACTTTAGAGATCCAGACAATGTGGTGTTGTGTCTACTGGCCACAGATGACGAGGAGGATGTGGCTCTGCAGATTCACTTCACCTTGATCCAGGCGTTCTGCTGCGAGAATGACATCAACATCCTGCGGGTTAGCAACATGAGGCGTCTGGCAGAGATCCTCGGTGGAGTGAAGCCCGGGGGAGAGCCCATGGACCTGCACTGCATTCTAGTTACAGTAAGTGTCGTTACTCATGTGGACCTGTTGTGTGTTGCTCACTTCCTATGAGCAATCAGGATTGTCGGATCTTTGTAGCCTACCAGTTCTCGGAAGTGCACACACTGAGTGATTATACTGTTTGCACATTTTGTAAGTCAGCAGGTGGTAACTGCTTTGTTCCTCCTCCTGCAGAATCCTCAGTCGTCCCTGTGGAAGGACCCAGCGCTGAGCAAAGTGAACAGATTCTGCAGAGACAGTCGCTGTTTGGATCAGTGGGTTCCTGTCATCAACCTTCCCGACCGATGAAACGGCTTGGAATATTAATGTATTGTGTGCATTGGGGAAAAAGTAATTGCACAAGGCCTGTGTTAATGTCTGTGTTGGACTCGTTTGGAAATCGCCCCAGAGAGAGAGAGGGAGAGAGAGCGGCGGGAAAATCAGGAAACAAAAAGAACACAGGGAGGAGAGAGGCGTTCCAGCAAATCCACCCTGGCAGGGTGAACTCGTGGGCCAAGGAAGAGTGACTCAGCAGTCTGGGTTTCCAGGATTTCCAACGTATGACTGCGCCTTTCTCTGCCGAGAAGGAGTCCTTCAGGGGAAACTGAATCATGTGAGCCGACGAGCACACGTGACGGCGAGCAGAAGAGCAGGGACTGAGGGGAAAGCTGACAGAGAGCGCCTCAGTGGACAAGACTCCAAGAACTGGACCACGCTGGAGTGGATCCGTCAGCTCGAAGAATTCCTCATGAAAAATTTGACCAAATCCGAGCATTTCTTTAACAGCACATTTATTTAATAGTATTTAAGACTTGTCACTTTGATAACTCAAAAGGGAAAGTTTTCTCACTTTATTATTAATATTATTATTTGAAGGGCAATGCAATGTTTAGACTTGTCCACTAACTGATGTTTTTATGTGTTATTAATTTAATGAACTATATTTATTGTGAGTAGTTCACAGGATTCTGCCTTGTGAAGTTGAATGAAATAAACAAACAACCAACAGTTCTCAGGATGGTTTCGCCTGATGATTTCCAGTTGCTACAGGTTTAACGTGATTATAGGAAGTCACATGGGGCCTTTCGTGACAGTCAGCCTGTATGAAACTCAACATGTTGGGTTTGGATTATGTTTTGGCACGTCACCCAACAAGTATTTCTCAGGTTTTTTTTCTGCAGCTTGCATTTCATAGAACTCAGCACAGAGTCAAAATATAGTTACTTGCAACTAAAAAGGCTAATCTGTCGTGTGCTAAATCTGCTGCAGGCTTTGAATTCCTTAGAATCCACTTTACTCCTGCATGGGAACTCTTGTAAATTTTGACCTTTTGCACATTTTGGAGATCTTGTTACAGTGAGGGGAGGAGAATTCCCATTGTAGTCTAATCTGAGGGGGACGGGGATCGTTGTGACGGCTCGTTCTTCACAGCAGACTGCGTTTACGCAATCAGAGCTAAATTTACTGCTGAGTGGATTAAAAATAGCAGAGAGGCAAGGAGAAAAAACAAAACAGTTGAAGACCCCTTTTCAGGCTGCAGAAAGAGAAAACCAGAACTTATTGGTGCTTGCTCAGAGTGGGGAGGGACAAAGCTTTCCACACAGAGCGTCATGAGACAATGGACGCATGAGTCAGGGCTATTCAGGTCTCTATTGCTAGAGCTGTACAGTACTTCAGCTTCACGGCTAAAAATAGCTCCATGAATAGAGGCGTTCCCCCCTGGTCGCTGACACGCTAACAATAGCAGCACTTGTAATTAACAGGCAGCGTACGCACAGAGGCCGACCTGCTGCAGAGACGTCACTTTGCAGTTGGGGGGTTATCAAGAAGCCTCTCCGGTGCTGCTTTCGAGTGCAGGAGAGCAGATGGGGAGGAAAATTGGGTCAAAATGCAGGGCTGACTGGAAGACTGGAGAGGAATGTGAGATGCGACAGTGGCCGGAGGGTTTGTGGTTAAATTGACTGAGTTTGCAAATGTGAGAAAATGAGCAAATGAGGCCAAAAACATGCAGACACGTCCACAGTTTTTACTGCTGTCTTTTCTTTAGGGAAGTTGCCAATCAGCAGAACTTTTTAGTATGAAAGCGCCACTGAGGTCTGAGATTTGTTTTCTTTCTCAGTAAGTGGAGCAATAATACCAGAAATACCAGAGTAGGGAGAGTGTAAAACGACACCCGAAAGCCTGTTTGATCATTAAAAAAGAGGAGCCTTCCTGTCACACTGCCTTCCTGGGAGGGGGTCACTAAAAGTAGGTAAGATGCTGGAGATACAGTGGCTTATTGGCTTATCCCAGGGCTTCCTCACTGCACTGACAAGTAACACAATCGCTGCAAAATAAAGCCAGTCCGATCCATCATCTGACTGGGGCAAGGATTACATCAATGTGGACCAACAAATATGGCCTGACCTGATTGTGGATGTAACATCACACCTGAGCAGACTGAGAAAGGAGAGAAAGGGCCGCTCACAGGTCCGGAGTTATCGCATCCCCTGAGGGCACATAAACACCTTCGCTGGGAAATTGGAGCAAACAAGGCCGTTTGTGCATCTGACCCGATACTCTCATCCACCTGTTTTAACATGCGACTTCAAGAGAATGATATTCATGTTGTTGGATAATAACATCAGACAGATAAACTAATATATTTTCAAGTATCGTGTGAGCAAAAACTTAAAGGATGTTAAGCCTCAGGGACCAAATACTAACCTCCATATAGGATTGTCTTAATAAAACAAACGCAATAAGTGTGTAGCGATTCTGTTTTAAAGCAGCATCAATCAATTTCTTGGCCACTGGTGGCAATCGAGCAAGCTGTAAACCCAACATTATTATTTTATAAATGTGATAAGACTAACATGATAGAAAACAATTGCCTGCTCCAGCAGATATGGAGGAAGATTAATCATCCCCACATACTCATAAAGATTTTTGTAGCAGCCCGTTGCTCTACTATGTTTACCTGCTAACTGGTTGACCTTTTCAGATAGCTTAGACAGGGTTTCATAGCGCTTGAAACAGCTGTAGGTGAAAGCAGAGAGACTGTACATTAAAGCTGCAGATGAATGAAGCAAAACAATGTCATAAAAGATGCTGAAATGCTCCACAGAGCATGGGTGGCGTGGGTTTGACATTATTCCCAAGCCCTTTCCCATTTGATCCATAAAAATATAAATGAGTGCAGCTTTAAATGATACGAATGACACTGAAAGCTCGTCATCTATCATTCAAAAACACTTTTTTTAACTTAGCAAATCAGAAATACGATGTTTGATACTCCTAAAAGGTATCAACTGGGGGAAAAAAGGCTGTAAATGACTTGTTTTAAAATTTTATTCGCATTTACCACAAACAGGTAAAGGCAGGTTACCTGCACTCACCATGTGTGAAAAACCACATACTGTAAATGTTTCTCTAACAAAAGCACAAATTCACTAGTAAAAATCAACCAAATACACCATTAACCCAAACAACGCATTCGGTTTTAATTCAAAAAGTTTTGCAAAAGTGAGGTTGGACTGAATCAGTATGTTTAAAAAGTAACAAGCAAGCACAAACTGTAGTACACGAACATCCGTACTGAGCTACGACACACACGAGACGCATCTCAATGCAATTAATTAGTGAGCACGAGTCATTTTGAAATATGCCATACACGTTCATGGAGTTGAAAGGGTAAATATAGTAAGATATACTCCCTTAACTCACCTAAAGGGCCTTCGTTATTCACAGTATTAGACAACAGCACTTATGTGACTAAAAGGTAGTTAAGAGGTTGAAGCAGGATCACTTCATCATTAAGGCTGCGGCTGGTAAAATTGCAAAATTAGTTGGTTTTTTTTGCATTAGCACAACACACAAATAACACAAAGTTAAAGCTATGTCAACATGATAAAATCAGAGTAGGTTTTAGAGCAGCTGTAAACATGGAATGTGTCAAACTCATAACAGTCATCTGGTGTTTGCAGGTTTCACAGTGCCTGAATAGTGCAGTACGAAGCAGAGAAACTGTCTGATCAGATGGCACAGGTTGGTGTTGAATATTTTACTTCTGCAGTAAAGGTGAATCATATTTGTTTGATAATTGAAGAATAAGAAATATGAGATGCGATCAAAATGTTCCAAGACTGTTAAAGCAAAAACTAAACCTGATTTAAATGTCGCCGTTATCACCATCAAAGTGTGCAGCGATGCACCACTCTTCTACTGTCAAGCTTGTAACGCTCCCTGAAAGTCCCGTAAACTTGTCAAGCATCATCTGTGATGGAGACTGAATCTCATCTGTGTCAAAACAGCAACTCTTCCACTTAAATTTCAGTTTGGGGAAAAGGAAGAGGGGCTGCAAGGTGGTGCAGTGGTTAGCACCATCGCCTCGCAGCAAGAAGATCGCTGGTTCGCATCCTGGTAGGACACCCAGGATCTTTCTGTGTGGAGTTTGCATGTTCTCCCCGTGCAGCGTGGGTTCTCTCCGGGTTCTCCGGCTTCCTCCCACACAGTCCAAAAACATGTTGAGGTTAATTGGTGATTCTAAATTGTCCATAGGTGTGAATGTGAGTGTGCTTGGTTGTCTGTCTCTAAGTGTAGCCCTGTGATAGACTGGTGACCTGTCCAGGGTGTCCCCTGCCTCCACCCAGAGTCAGCTGGGATAAACTCCAGCCCCCCACGACCCTAGTGAGGATTAAGCGGTGTATAGATAATGGATGGATGGATGGATGGAAAAGGAAGTAGTCACAGGAGCCAAATCTGGTGAGCAGAGCAGTTACACAGCTGTGATTGCGGTGATGTGGCCAACAAATTGTGCGCAATCATCACATTAAGAGCAGGCACACAGTAGATCACCTACATGCTACAGCGCCACAGTTCAGGTCATTTTCTCATTCAGATGCTTCGGTATGTAACAGCAAAACTCAATCTGGGTGGTCCTGGTGCTCATGACCTGATGCACCTGCTCTTGGAAAGTGTGATGATTCTCCACATGAAGGTTGGATCGTTCTTGCTGCTGATTGACACAGAATGTGATGCTTCCTCTCTGCTCAAGTTTGAGCTCCATGTAGGAGCTGCAGATGCACTCCTAAAAGTGGTCACAAAAACACGTGTGCCACAGGTCTTGCTGTTGATCTTGTGATGTCATGCTGACTCATGACACTTAGCACTCGCTCAATGTCGCAGATAAATGACCCCAACATGCTCCGTGTGCATGTACCAAAAACAGTCTCAGAACTTTTTGATCAAACCTCATATAAAGTATCATCTACAAAGTATGGTGTAGAGTAGTCTGAGGCTATATTTTGTACCAGTACTTATATTTCTATTTTGATGAGGAAAATCACTTAAAAGGTATTAAAACTTGCAGATGACACATTTATAATATTTAAAAGATTTGCACGGAATTCAATTGAAGTTGCTACATTGCTTGAGTGAAGCTACCTCAGAAGGAAAGTTACAAAAGGTAAAAAAAAAAAATCTAATCATCCCCAAATCTCATCACCGTGTCTTCATATCTGAAAAGAAGAAAACCTGGTCACTATTTGAACTGAACTGTTTGTCTCTGGAAAAGTTCAGCTGGATATGTCAGGACAATCTGAACCCATGTGTTTGCGCTGCCTGTGCAAAGAGAAAGTGAGAAACAGTTTAACGATCACTTCTAAAAACTAGTACTTCTTGCTGCTGGCGACGGTACAAAGCAGGAGCTGTGCATCAGTGGTGATGAACCTCCACTCTCCCCATCTGTCCTCCTGTGATGGACGGCACAGTTTACCCGCGGAATGACAGGATGTCATTATCTCGGTGCTCATTATCAGTAGGACACAAACTACATCAACCATTTCCTCAAGCAAGCCTGATGAAAGTAAGAGGTGAAAGCCTAAATCTGATTGGACTGATGATTGAGGCAGCATGTTTACGCATGCTGTGATAATTACAGAGTCATCATCTCTCCCATTCATGGCACAGCGTCTTTCAGGCCGACCTCTGTGGGGTTCTGGATCTTGTCAGATTACAGTGCAGAGAAACAAAAGTCGCCACCGAGCCCTCGTGCAAAATTTTAGTCATCTTTGTTTGAGCTAAAGCTTTGATCCGAGGCCTCAGCTTCAGATTTCTGCCTGTTCTTTTGTGTCGCTGCTATCTGACGGGGAGACAGAGGAGGACTGCGTTCTTTGTCAAACTGCAGCAGGCGTGTGAAAAACTTAACGGGTGTACTGGCCTTAAGGCAAGTTGTGAACAGCATTACTATCAGCGTTTTTACAACATCAGAATCAAAATCAAAAGCAGCAAGAGTTCAGGTGTTCCTCTACAAAACGGTGCAAGGTTTCTTGTCCTTGAAAGGGTTTTCTGAAGCCGGGATGCCCATGAGCAGCGGGTCATTCTTGGCGTGCTCTCCACAGTAGCGCATCAGGTCTGACGAAGCCTTGGACACCTGCAAAGGAATCAGTCCACACACTGATTTACCTCAACACACACGCAGAACACAGAAAGTAGGACACTGGTGGCGGTGAGTCACTGTGAGTGCAGACCTTTATCCTCTCGATGCTCGCCTCTATCCTCAGCTGCTGCACCGTCCTCCGGGCCTGAGCGATGCTACTGGAGCTGTGCATTTTTGATGACATTGCAGTTTTCGGACAGCTGTGCTTTAACCTGTGTGAGAAACACATTTACAATTACTGTATGTGCGTTAATTGACCCAGTGATGCCGTTGGTATCTGCACAGCGGAAACCAACAAAACCACAGTGTAATTAATATATTTTCAAATGCTGGCTGGGAACAAGATGTTCCAGTGGGATTAAAGAAGCAACATAAAAGTCAGGCTGCTGTAACAATATGGGTGTAGCTAGTGCTGACTTTACACTGTGAACTTAAGGAATTAACCTAGATTTGACATTGTTATTGGCTTAATGTAGTAATTAGTGATCTTATTTAGAAATCAAGGACACTTTATACTTTATAATTTGAAAGCTGTTGGCAGTTCTTCCTGCATGCCATGTGCTTTTCTGCCAAGGTTAGCATGCACAAATACAATATTGAGCATTAAGTTATTATTTGAACACAAAATTCATGATATTTAAGAGCGATGTGAGATAGTTTGAAAGCTTTAACAGTAGAAACACATGAAAAACAGAAGATGTCAAACAGAACTTCAATGGGCAACTAAGTCTTGCTTGGAGTTGTACTATGAGCACACAAAAGTGTGTCATCTGCATATAAATGAACACTGAAATGCTGATGGCGAATTATAATGTAGATAGTTATGGGCCCAAGGAATGTAACACCCAAGTATAGGGGTGAGCAAACTGATGAACTCATACCTCACTGGAAAGGCAGCAAAATGAGATAAAGGACTGTCACTGCTAGCTGGTTAGCAGAAACTGAACTTTCAAAAGAAGCCTTGACGCAGCTGACTTACAAACCACTATGTCAGAAATTTTACAAGGAAATCAGAGCAAAAACAGGATGCAGCGATTTGTGAGTTGAGATTAATGGAAAGGTAATAAGTTTAATGGGTATTTTGCTCCAATACCACAAAAGTCCACTTCATGTTAGCACTTAAGCAAAGCTCATATAATCACCGAAGTCATCGGGATTCAACATGTTTAAATCACAAAATGTAGTTTTTGTGGCAATCTATCTGGTAGATGTTGAGAAATTTCATAGGATAAGTGGAAACTTTGACCTGCTGGTGGGGCTAGAAGAAATATCAGAACAAACAAATGAATGTGAGGTAGTTTCCACCATGTCTGCACAAAATACCACAGAACGCACTCCAACATTTGTTAAGATATTCCAGTCAGTTCGTGGCAGATAAAAAAAATAAAAAAAAGAAAAGAAAAAGCAAGACTGCATCTTTTCTTTTCTATTTCTTTTACAGCATGTGTGCAACAGCTTTGCACAATATGACGGGAAATTAAAAAAAAAAAAAAAAAAGTGAAGATGTTGAAGCAGAAATTTCTAATCTTCAGAGCTGTGCAATTTCTCAGAAATGACAGTTGAGTTTATCTGGAACTGAGTCAATCTGCGTAAAAGCTGTGACCCAACCTAACAGACTCCTGTTTCACAATTCCCTCTTCCAGGATACAATGGTTTGCTTTTACCGGTTCATTACATCACTTGCTGCACTACTTGAAGGAGAGGCTGCACAGTTGCTATTTTCTGCCTTCCACTCCGGCCAACTGCTGTGCACAACGCAAAGGGGAAGCAGTATTTCAGCAGAACCTGATGTCTTCCTTCTGTCTTCTGCACAAACAGAATTTCCTAGAAGAGCGGGGAACATCCTCTAATGCAAGAGAGACAGAACATCTTGTATTCAAGTTTATAGTAGTGCACACTGCTGAGCAATAAAGGAGAATTCCTGTGTGTGTTAAACAATTGTTCGGCTGTGATCATTTGCAGATCTTCCTGCAGGAACAAATGAAGAAAAGACACCAAAAAAAAAAAGTGTCTCTACGGGACTGACAAAAATAATCTTTGGCATGTGGTGCAGCGAATGTTTGCCCTGTGCTCTGGTGCAGGATATTATGGAGGAGGGGAACACGCTGAAACGGAAGGGAGATGAAACATAGGCAACTGCAGAACCGACCTCAGAAAGGAGACGACACCATGCATCCCTCTAATCCCCCCACCCACTCCCTTCCGCTTCCTCCATAGGAAGCAGAATCGCCAGTTATGCTCCAAAGCATAAATGATTAAATATGGGGTAGAGCCTATAAAAATAGAAGCTACACCCACAGGAGAGTCACCAAGGAAACAGAAAGAGTCTCTGCTATAATAAGAGTGCAAGACTTTCTGCTAAGGTAGCTTTCGTAAAGACTGCACGCTGACATTAAAGCCACAAGCAACGTATTTACTGTCAGGCCAGCGTACACGATGTGCTGTCGCAGGTTTTGCCTACTTGACCTGTGCACTCATTGTTCCAGAGCACTTAGCGCTTCATTTTGTACGTTTCTTTTCAACACAGCTGTAGTATTTATGTCCACGGCAACACTGGCCAGGCATGAGTGGACGTTGAAAAATGGGAGTGCTGCGTCACAGCAGGGTTAGTTAGCGATCACCCTCCCCTACATGTGCGCTGTGTGACGCCGGCTGCTACTATGGAGCCTAGAAGTAGTACTCTGGCAGACTGCAAACCTCAGAGCACTTGATCACAGTTAATGGTCAGCCTTGTCGAGTCGTTACGTATTTGTAGTCCTAAAGATCATCTTTTATGAGATTTAAGGCAAGACAATACAGATAAAAAGTACATAAAACAATTTGACTGTTAGGTAATGATATGAAGCTTTCCCCAGTGATGACTTACATTAAAACAGTGTCTTTTTGCATTGCATGTTTTCATATGTTCTTAAAATTTGCTAATGTGCTATTATCATTATTTTGTTGTTCAGCTTTTTGAGTAAAATGTTCTATAAATCAGGATATGACTGATCATATGAACAAACCCATCTCTTAAAACGTTCAGAATATAATGTAGATAGGAATAAAACTAGAAAGTTTGGTTTGGATTACTCGCTGAGCGTAAGAGAAAACTCGGTCTTTAAACATATATTGTGTAAAACTCCATATATTCAAATCAAATCAAGGTTATTGTCATGTTGCTGTACAGGCAAGATGAGAGAGCGTTTCTCCAGGATCCAATAACTAAAAGCAATTACATAAAGTGTTTGCATATCTAGATCAGCAGTTCCGCATTCTGACAGCTTGTGGCATGAAGCTGTTGATCATTCTGGAGGTTCTTCCTTTAATGTTCCGGAAACATTTGCCTGAAGGCAGCAGTTCAAAGAGTTCATGGAAAGGGAGTGAGGAGGCCTTGACAATGGTCAGTGTCCTGCTCCTGCAGCAGCTCCTCTTCCTATTTACTACAAATAGATCTCACAAATTTTCTGAAAGTTTGATTAAATATGCAAATGAAGCATTGTCTAATTAAATATGTACAAATTTGCATGAATATCCAATAAAGAAAGTGAGGTAAAATAACCACCTACATGTGCAGACTGGTCCTTTTATTTCCACTTGTCTGAAACAAGTATGAACACTGAGCCGGAAAAAGTTTACATTCGCCACAATCTTGCAAAAAAAATCAGAGGCACTGTGTGCAAAATGTACTACATCCATTCCTGTCCTGGTATGACTGATGTAAAGATAAAAGCAGCAGTAAAAGTTCACCTGTATGCTTAGTAGAGCAGAGGCTACCGTCTCACCACTATTGACACTGTTTCAATTTTTCATAAACACGGCTCAAAAATGAATTGATTTCAAATAGAATTTGTGATTTACATGAAAGTAACTCGCAAATTTCTGAGGTTGTCATAACAAACAAAGGTGACGCAGCATGTTCGAGCCAGAGTTTAAATTGCTGCGTCAGTTGTTTGGTAGATTCATGCCAGCTTCCTTGTGTAAAATTGTGTAACAGCTCCAAAACACGTTGCAAGGTAATTACACAACGGATATTGAACCGAAGCTTAACTACAATGCAAATCAATTCGAAATATCAGTCAGAAAAATCCCAATTTGATATTTTTCCAACATTATTTAGCACATTGACCACTTATGAATCACTGAAAACATTTTTAAACGACAATCCTGAAAAAAACTCCAGTTTCAGGATCTTACTTGTGTTTTTTTGTTGTTGTTTGTTTTGTTTTTTGTCATTTTTGTTGGTAAATTGAATGTTGATTGAATAAAACAAGGCATTACCTTGCAATTTACACACCATAAGCACTGTTTTTCAACATTTTAAAGCAATAATTGAAAAACATAATTGCTAATTTATGAGATAATGAAAAGGGGTTGTTAGTTGCAGCCTTAGCTGCACAGTTTATTAGGACATCCAGTGGTTTGCACCCAACTTGGGACCTCTGATGCATGTTAGTCCCCATCGCTCTCTCCCCTAGTTTCTTGTCAACAGCGATCTTTAAAATTCAAAAAAATAAGTATTCACTGGTCAAGTAAACCTGAATATATTCAGAACTATTGAAGATATAGGAGCATTTTGACAGAACCTCTGTGGTGGGAAATGAAGAAGGAACATTTCAGACTCCGTTTCTAGCTCATAATCAGATTAGCAGCAGTGACCATGTAACTGCTCTGTACAAAAGGTCAGATTTCTTTGCAATGCATCCTTTCACAAAGCTGCAGCTTTTTTTTTTCTTTAACTGATGGGAGTTAAATGAGATTGATACCACTCTCAGATACATTAAAGTCAGGAGGCAGCCAGGACAAGCTTATTGCATAAACAGTTACTCTGGCTAAGTGTCAAAAAAATCCACCTTACACCATCCGAAGCTCAATTAATAACACAAAATATAACAAAGAAAGGAGGTTATGATTTTCCAAGGGGGCTGCAAGATGGATCGGTGGTCAGCACCGTCGCCTCACAGCTAGAAGGTCGCCGTCCTGGTTTGGACTCCCGGGATCTTTCTGCGTGGAGTTTGCATGTTCTCCCCGTGCAGCGTGGGTTCTCTCTGGGTTCTCCGGCTTCCTCCCACACAGTCCAAAAACATGTTGAGGTTAATTGGTGATTCTAAATTGTCCATAAGTGTGAATGTGAGTGTGCTTGGTTGTCTGTCTCTAAGTGTAGCCCTGTGATAGACTGGTGACCTGTCCAGGTGAACCTGCCTTCACCCTGAGTCAGCTGGGATAGACTCTC